GACTCCTCGCCGCTTTTGCAGATTCCACTTACACGGCGACCCCTCTGATACTTGTTCATCCATGTGTCTGACAATTGTATTCTTTACTATAGTTGCAACTAATTTGCCCGGTACTGATGTTAGACTTACCGGTCTGTAATTGCCAGGATCACCTCTAGAGCCCTTTTTAAATATTGGCATCGTGTTGGCTATCCAGTCATTGGGTACAGAAGCTGATTTCAAGGATAGGTTACAAACCACAGTGAATAGTTCTGCAGTTTCCCATTTGAGTTCTTTCAGAACTTGGGTGAATGCCATCTGGTCCCGGTGACTAACAACTGTTACACATCCCTCTCAGTGCTGCTGGTACCCGAGGGAACCTGGGATTGGCAGTCTGATCACGGAACAAGTCTTCCTGCCAAAGTCCTTCGTGTTTCCGTCTAGGACCATTTTGACCTGTGTTTGCCCTTCTCCTGGCCCAGAAGGTCTTTGCATAAGTCTGTGGTTCTCAACTGGTGGTCCATGGTGACACTTTCGGTGGTCCCCAGGAACATTGTCCAAAGTTACACGGCGTGGGCAGGCACCAAAAATCTGTTAGTAAGAAATAAATTTCAAACCAAAATGTTCGTTGTCTGCTCTTTTTTATCATATCTCAAAAAGGAGGTGGTCCATGAAAATTTTTTGATTGGCCTGGTGGTCCGTGGACTGAAACGAGTTGAGAACCACGGGCAGAGGTGATAGACATAGTTGGTGAGTGGCGGGGGGGAGGTTGGACAATAAATTGCCCTCCAAGAGGGACCCCTGAAGCTCACCGTCCAACGTACTTTTGAGTGTGGACTGTTAAAATTCCAGCCGGCACCCCAGAACGCGTGGCCGTGGTAGTGATAGTCCGTCTGTCTGTCTGGTGCAGGGACACGGAGATTGAGGATCTGAAGACCCAGCTCTCCAGGATGCAGGAGGACTGGATTGAGGAGGAGTGCCACCGCGTGGAGGCTCAGCTGGCGCTCAAGGAGGCCCGGAAGGAGATCAAGCAGCTCAAGCAGGTGATCGACACGGTCAAGAACAACCTGCTGGAGAAGGACAAAGGCCTTCAGAAATACTTTGTGGACATCAACATCCAGAATAAGAAGCTGGAGACGCTGCTGCACAGCATGGAGGTAGCACAGAACGGGGTGGTGAAGGAGGAAGGGGCGGGGGAGTCGGCGGGGGGCTCTCCAGCCCGGTCCCTCACCCGTAGCTCCACCTACACCAAGCTGAGCGACCAGGCAGCCGGGGACAGGAACGTGGGGGACTCGCAGACCCTGACAGCCGAGGAGATGGCCGACAGGAGCCGGACGGACTTGCTGGAGCAGAGCAGCCTGCTCTCCTCGGGGGTCGAGTTCTGCACCGAGGAGGGGTCTCTGCAGAACTCGTTCACGCTGGGCTCCCGGCTTCCCACCAGCTCGACCTACGAGAAACTGCTGGGCGTGCACGGCAGCGTGGAGGCGGGGGTGCAGGCGAGCTGCATGCAGGAGCAGGCCATCCAGACAGACTTTGTGCATTACCAGCCGGACCTGGACACCATTCTGGAAAAGGTGACGTCGCAGGCTTGCAGCCTGGGCAGCCCCACTTCCGTGTGGGTGTCGGAAATGGAAGACCTAGCGCCCGCCTCCGAGGCTCTGGCGGCGTGCACGGCAGCGTGGAGGCGGGGGTGCAGGCGAGCTGCATGCAGGAGCAGGCCATCCAGACAGACTTTGTGCATTACCAGCCGGACCTGGACACCATTCTGGAAAAGGTGACGTCGCAGGCTTGCAGCCTGGGCAGCCCCACTTCCGTGTGGGTGTCGGAAATGGAAGACCTAGCGCCCGCCTCCGAGGCTCTGGCCCCCAACATCTTCGGGACCAGGGACTCGATGGCGACCGATCCCCACTCTGTGATGGTGGTGAGTGCAGGAGATGGGACAGAGACCCTTGCCCCAGAGGGCTACCCCGGAGCGGGGGCCCACAACCCTGCTGTGCACCAGCCTGCCAGCATCAGCCCGTCGGTCAGGCCCGTCGGTCAGCGTCGCTTGCCCGCTGGAGGAAGACGTGACCGAGCTGAGTGCGGAAGCTACCGTGCCCAAAAGCTACTGGAGCCGTTATTTCATTGTGGATCTCTTGGCCGTGGTGGTGCCGGCCGTGCCCACGGTGGCCTGGCTGTGCCGCACACAGCGGCGGCAGGGCCAGCCCTTATACAATATCAGCTCGCTGCTCCGCGGGTGCTGCACGGTGGCGCTGCACTCCTTACGGAAGATCAGCTGGCGCCCTCTCCGCCAGCCAATCGCATTGCACATGCTTCGAGGCCCGAGGGTGTGAAACGGCCGGATTTGATTTGACCGCTGATTGTAAATGCCAGACACGTGGCCCGTTCCCTTTATTTATTTGAAGTCCGGGGGCAGCTGGACGTGCTCTGATCTGCTGCTTC